GCGATAATAGAACCCGGCAGCAGTCATACCTGCGCCAGCGGCGCGACTGGCGGCTGGCGGTGCCCGGTTTGTGGTGCTGTCAGCCCCACGGCCGGTGCTGCTCAGCGTCACATGGATGCCCATCAGGGCGTCAAAGCCTTCCGGTGCACGATCTGTCGTTACAAGGGCAACACTTTGCGCGGCATGAGAACTCACATTAGAATGCACTTCGAGAAGCGCGGTACAGATCTCCAGGTAGATTTTTCCTTGCTTTTGAGCTTCATATTGCACTCTTTGTCTCCTTCTCTCCAGGAGAAGGAAAAAGGAAAAAAGATGAACTGGTGCAAAAGTTCAGTAATAAAGAACAGACCTCATATTGCACAGAAAAATTACGGAAACATTACAGAAATATTTTATTGCAAAATTGTGTGTACAAGATTGATAAAATATCCATCTAAACAAAATATATCAACATCGATAAATATGTGTCCATCTGGTAACGCTGCCGTATATTTCATTAAAAAAAAAAGGTTATTATTTTGCACAATATTTTTGAAATATTATTGTAGCACATCGTTGAAGTTATTAAGAAAAATAATAAAGAAATATTTTTAAGTCTTTGAATGTCTCTATATAATATTTTACATTGCAATATGCAATGTTGCTGCAAGCTTTTTTACTGTATAGTGATCAGTAATTTTGATAAAATTAAATCTTTTTTTTTTTAAGGAATATGTTTAAGATATTATATTGTATTATGTATGTTTTTAATATGTGTTTTTGACCGACACATTCTTACGAAACATTCTTTATCCTAGGAAGAAAATTATATAACATGCGTGCTCGACGACGAGGTAACACTGCCGACGCCGGAACCTGCACCCTCCACAACACCAGAAGAGATCCCCGCTGAAATCCAAATGAACGGCAAAACGGAAATAAGAAAGAGCCCGCAGCCGCCACCGCCACCGCCACCTCCCCCATCGTTGCCGCCGGCAATCACCGGCAAGGTCAAGCAGGAGCCCGAGGATACGCCGCCACTGGACGAAAGTCTGGACAGCAACAAGAGCGGGCCTCGCTACTGCCGCTCCTGCGACATCAGCTTCAACTACCTGAGCACCTTCATCGCTCACAAAAAGTTCTACTGCTCGAGTCACGCCGGTGAGGCGAGCAATAACAATAATAACAATAACAATAACAACAACAACAATGCCAGCGGCCATCCGACGACGCCGCCGACTGGCAGGACCGAGGCGTCGGTGCTTTAATTCTCCGAAGTTTCGCAGGCGTGATGACATGTCTCTCCCATTCATTCCTCTTCCCGGAGGATCTCCAATTGTTTTTAAGATTCTTTGAAATAATCGAGAATAATATTTCGAGACTAATCCCCGAGATTTTTCTATTCTTGCTTTGAGAATTAATTTGTAAATATTTTATGAGAAATATTGTATTTTAAATAATTGTCACGAAATTTTTCCAAAAATTCAAATAAATTTTTTTGAATAAGTTTTGCTAGTTATATAAAAATATTATACCCTTGTTATACCACTGCGATCGAATTAATTTATGGAATCTTTTTAGTGAAATTAATTCTGAGGCCTAATTTCATCTATTTCTGCACATATCGCATTTTTTTCAGAGATTTCAGGAAGAGAAAAAGAGGCGAAACGTGTCAGAAACGCAATGACGGACTAAAAACGGGGACTGTTTATTGTTGCCAGTTTATACATAATATAATGAGCGACTATCAGACTTCTTATAATAAAATTAGTTGAATATATTACGTTGTGTGATTTTTGTTGACCCAGGGAATCGTTTGTACTTATAAGCCGAAGGTAATCTATGTGTAAATATATATACACTCATATTTATATTGTGTGTGTGTATATATATATATATATATGTATATATTTGTACAATTATATCATTTCGAGTTACACTATATAAAATATTATCAAATATTTCAAAATGTTTTCCGAAATATGATACATATAATCGTAATATGTATATACATACATATATATATATATATATAACTTTGTATAATTAGATCATTTTGCACCTGCAAGAACGGACGAATTGCAGGAAAAAGATGCAAACAGAGTCATGACTAGAGTAACACAATTAGACATGTTAATAAATATAATCTACGTATATCTCAATAATAAAATAAAATTTAATGAAGCTAATTTAACAAAGAAGCTTTAATCTCGGTCTTTCGATAAGTTAGTATTGTTTATCTATCTCCTAATTTAATCTATAAAATAATATATTGATATATTTATTTTCTGTTACATTTTCTATTTCTCGTTTTCTATCATTTGTCATTTATTGTTTGTTAATTTTTCAATTAAGAATTCGGGAATTAATCTATTGTTTTATATAAATAAAAAAATCTTTCGACATATAAATTAAGTTATATTTAAAAATATATATCCAGCGTTTTATATATACATGGCTCTGTTTGCAAGCAATTTTTTGAGCGATCGTCGTGTCATTTTGATATTCTCAGAAGATAATTTTTGAGAATATTGAAAAGAATCGGTGAGACGTCGCATTGTCCTGTACATATAAAAATTGGCGAAAAGCAAAGTGAAGAATAAAGAAAAACGACTGGGCTCGACGCCAACGTGATCGATCGATTCGGACGTTGCTGTGCAATCTCATGACTCTTCAATAATCTCGTAGCATTAATAATCATTACCTTACGAACGAAATGATGAGTGTAAAATGTTGTACAGTAGACGAGTAGAGTATTACGAAACAGTAGTAAGCAATCCTGATGAATGATACCAATCTCAGCTTGTGAATCTGCTAAGTTACGTTGCGCAATGTATGACATTTAATATATATATATTATATATAAATAAAAAAATGGTTACGCATGTTCGCGAAAATCGCGCCCACGTTTGCGATAATAACGTGAATGCGTCGATAAATATCCATTGGAAGAATTTAAAGTGCATTTAATAGAATACTATAAAAGTATAAAATATGAATTTACAGCGAGATTATTCATGATGAATTATCTTTTAATGAAAATTTCATTACTGGCTATATGTTATTTATTTGTCATGTGGACTTTGAAGAAAGAGAAAGAGTTAGGTAGTTGAAAAAGAAAAATTTAATATATTAATAATTTTAGAATTCGAAATAATTAGGATATTTAATAATTAAGTTTTATAAAATACAATAAAAAATTTTTTTAATATTTTATGAGTTATCAAAGTATTTTTGATAACACATAAAATTAAGTATTTAATATTGTAAATATTACCAATGTTTTTCATACTGTATGATATATATAGTTTGATATGTAATATAAAATTCTAAAACATCTTTACAGATTAAATTACAAAATTTTATTAATTTTTTAAGTTACTAAAAATAAATCAATCGGAAAAATCTATTTATTTTTTATGACAAATATGTATATATATATATATATATATAATTTTGTAAATTCCTACAATATAATAAAGGAAGGATTAACTCCTCAAGTTTATCGAAACATTAAAAATTTCGAAATATTTAGAAATATTTGAAAAAGAACTTACTATCAAATGTCTTGTGTGTATATATATATATTGCAGTGAACGCAATTTGGCTATAGAAAGACTAACGATCTACAAACGCCTCCTTCGCTTAGCGTTATCACCTTGGATCTTTATCGGCGCACTCGTATTTGTGCACTCCAAAATCAAAAGCGTCGTACGTGCTCGCGAAGCGGAACAAGCCACCCCTTCGTCACAGGGCGCGTGTAAATGTAATATAAATTAGAATTAAGGCCAGTGTTACGTGTATACGCAATGTACTACTCATATCATACGACGAGCTCGTTAATTAATTGAAAAGGAAAAAAACATAATATGAAAAAATGCCGATCCTTGTCCGCGTGGCGAATTTCATCGCGCGCGCGCGCGCGAGAGAGAGAGAGAGAAAATAAGTGTATGAAAGAAAAAGAGAGACTTCGAAAAGCGAAATTGTGAAGATTTCTCGCGAGAGACAAGTAATCTCGTCACATCGACTGGAATGACTCCCTTCTTCCCCCTCTCCGATCATTGTAGAGATTCGAGATAATTTTCTTCGAGCCATGATACTTTTTGTTGAACGTTATGTTGTTAATCGCGTATCGTATGTGTGTGCGAATGCATGCGTGTGTGTGAATGACGTGTGTGATTACAAAAAAATTTGTAAATCCATGCAACTGGTACTTCCAACAACTTGTTATAATACGCTATAAATCTGGTGTATATCATTACATGCCATATCCACGACGACGAAGTACATTCTTTCTTCAAACAACACAGGCTCATCCCCTGCAACATCCTCCCGGGGATCGATCGCTTAATCTTCTGGAAGCGTGCGGATCCTTTCGCAAAATAGATGAAACTGCCCTTGTAGTTCCTTTTCAACGATTACAACTGCGTTCACTCAATGATTTCTCTATCTTTTGATCTATATTATAAAAACAGGTCGTAAAATTAGGTTTAATTAAACTTCGACTTGAAATGACAAAAAGTATTTTTCTCGTTGATTTTGCATGATCGATCCCCTCGTCTCTAGGCTTACTTCTTTTTGCTGTTCTTATTTTGATAGACGGATTTTACACGCGAGATATATATCTATAGAGAAAAGTCTGTAATAAATATATATAAACATACAAATAAAACTTTGTCATTTACAATTCACTTTTTTTTGCAAGGAGAAACGCGAAAAAAACTAAAATGTATGCTAAAAGAAATGTTTATTGCGAAATATATATTCATCAAGATGTTTGATATACAAATTATCTAGAAATATGCTAAAGTACATGTCAGCGGTCATTTAACAGATTCAGTACATGCATTACATTAAATTAATGCATACTAAAAGCTACTACACATGAAATCAGCAAATGTAAAAACACATAAATATTTTAAACGATTAAATATTCAATAACATTGTTATTGCAAGAATATACATGTAATATTTCCTTATCATAGATTATGCATTTAGATTATTTATATAAAGTAGCCTTTAATGTGCATTATTCAGAGTGTAGTGCAAATGACCGAATTTACCATGAATTCATTCTTCTCTTAATCCTAATTTAAAAAATGTTTTAATTACATATAACTAAACATTTTCATCATTTATTGACAATGTACTGAATTCCTTTTCCGCCCTTTCGTCCATTTCATCATCTGATGTTTCTTCATTACATGATATTTCGTGTTCTATTTCTTCCTTATCTGACAAGCTTTTCTCACAATCACTGTATGAACTACTACTCTCTCTATATCTTCCTTCGCGAATGTATCTATAATTATCTTTAACCCTAAAGTCGGGACATTCGTTTTCGTCATCGGAAATGTCGAGATAATCATCACTGAATGATTCAGCTGTACGATCAGGATCCGTATCGGGATAATCATTTTTCCAATTTGATTCTGCATTAGAATCCGAGGATTCATCTTCATCTTCCAACTCTACTGAGTCTGAATAATCTGGCCTTCGTACCAATATATTATCCTCATCATTCTCAAACCACAAGTTGTTAGCAGTTTGTGCACAATACAAATCGTATACATAATTGTGAAGCTCCTGAAACATATGCCCTATATTATAAATTTGTTTATACATTTTATATACATATACATTTTACTTCGTTCAAATTCAAATACTGATATGCTATTCTTTATTTGTCATATATTGTAAAAAATAATTTGTGTATACATAATTTTTCTATTTATTTTTATTTCCTATTTACTTCTCTATTTAAAAGACTACTTTATTTTTGAATAGTCTCTTATTTATTTTTACATTTCATTTTTAATGTAAAGTTAATATATGAAACACTTTTTATTACAACATATATATATATATACACATACAGTGACTGCCAAAGTTTCCAGCTAATGAATAATTTTATTGTACTACTGAAATATAAAACAAATAAAGATCTAAAGCTAGTTCTTTTTTGAATAAAATTCTGGTGTACACTTCTAAAATAAATTGATATAAAACAAATTTTACTTATTTTACTCTAATTTATTGTACTAATGTACACCAATTCAGAACTTTCTTAGAAAACGAATAGACTTCTAGTAGAAGTTCTTAAGATATAATTCTTACTAGAAGTTTTCTTAATATATTGAAAATATTGTATTCTTAAGACTATAACAAGAATTTTATTAATTTATAATATAAATTGAAAAACAGGTCGACAAAATAGATGATAGTAAAGTTATGTTTGGCTGGAAATTTTTAACAGCCACTAAATACCAACAAGTAAATTTTTTCATAAAACATTTTGATTGTCACGACTTGCCTCTGAGACATCTAGATCCTTGGTTTGCTCTTCTCTTGTCTGACAATGAACACTAAAGATGTCTTCCACATCTATGAGTACCATATTCATATCTTTAAACTCTGGATCATTTGATGTATCTAATGATTGGTAATCGGTAACTTTGTACCTGTCGTCTATCCATTTGGGTATTTTTCCAGAAATATTTGCATAACCACTATCAGATACTCTCTTGACACCAGTTTTGATATTTTCCATGTCCAGAAACTTGCCCACATGTTTTGTGACATTTTCTGTCTGAAATATTAAAAATAAGCTCTTTTAAGCTCTTTAATAGGCCTGTTTCTCTCTTGTTCCTCCTTTCTATTTTTTTTTATAAAATAATTTTTTTAGAGATTAACATGACAGGACTCTAGATTTTAAATGAATTTTATAATAAACTTAAACTTATTTTCATATATCTAGAATTCTATGACAGGATAATATTTTTATAATAATAATAACAATCGCAATAATATATGTATATTTATCTATTCTTTTATATATATATTGATATTATACATTATAATAACCATATAAGAGTAATATAATAATGCTATAACTATAATAATTATAAAAAAATTAGATAACAAGAGAGATTACATGAAGACTTTTGTTGAATTTCTCTATGGTCAAAATTATGATTAAAATATTGAAAGAGTTGCAAAGTAATTACAGTATTCATATTCAGAAAAGTCACCTAAAAGCACTTTATAGAGCATATTTTTTAAAAGGTGAGATGAAAATTCATATTATAATATTTCACTGGATTTACACTATTGTTGAGGTGCATATAATTTCATTTGTTTTAAAAATTAAACAATATGTATTTGCATCGCAAATGAAGTGTAAATCAGTTGACTCACTTTTGTCGACCTTTAAGTAAATACTATAACCGTCTTTTTAAGATTCTAATCAGTCTCACAAGTAATCAACGAATAATCCAACCTAACCTTTAAAAGTTAATCTCTTCTTGTCAATGAAGTACGTCTATCAAAGAAAACTTGCTATCAAATCGCAATTAATCGCATTAACTAAATTTAAAAATCATCAGATTCTCACCGGGTCTTTAAGAGTGCCAGCAAACTGGACGACGGTTTCTACAGGTGGGATATCCGAATGGAAGACCTCAGTTTTTAGTCGTTTACATGCAATTACCAGTGCGTCCAGTGGAGAATCAGTATTCTTGCGTTTTACACGTAATATTGCAGCCATTTTCAACGTGACATGTAACGTCAATGGACGCAATTTAAAATAAACGTCGTAATATTTTCTGATCCTGAATCTTTACTGTTTTCGCATTTCGCCAATATTTCAATCAGAGAGAAGCCTGACTACCTGAGAGTAGAGTACCTGAGAGCCAGAGAGCGGCCATACCCGGGATTTAGCTGTACTTTATTTTAAAGCGCCTCTATGTCCACAAAACGTGGACATTGAACTATGTAGCCAATGTCCACGATCGTGTCGGTAATGTCCACGATTTTTTGGTTCGAATCTTCCCTATGTCCATGATTTTTTGGTTCGAAACTTCCCTATGTCCATGATTATCAGTCCGTTAGACAGACATAAAGACCCAGAAAACAATGTGACGTCTTAAAGACGTCATAAAGACATCCTAAAATTCATGAGACATTTTTTGGAAGTATCAGAATGACGTCTATATAACGACTTAAAGATGTCTTATGCGTCGATTTATGCCGTCTTAAAAGATATTATTTTTAAGACATTTTATAGACATTGATTTATGATCATTTCATGACAGACAATCAATCCGTCGGTGGCACCGACTCGAATTAGTTATATGAATTTGAAGAAATTCAATTAAAATGCCTGTGTTTGGCGATGAGATGTAGGAATTCCACTCTCATTAACGTATTTTAACGTTTTAAGCGATTTATTTTCATTAGGAACGTCGGAAAAACGTGGATATTATTGTTTACATATAGATATATTTTCTTTTATTGGAAGCTTTCCAACAAGCGACACATTTAATCATCTCATCCTTATTTAACATTGGCGAACAATAAGGACTGATACACTGTATCACACCTGGTTACACCGTGTCATCTATGTCGCTTGTTGGAAGGCACCCATAGAGTAATTCCTGTCATCGTGTATACTTCAATTTATTATCGCAGCGTGTATAAAATGTTTAAAAATCATGATTTCATATAAGAGATACATATCATCATTTATTTTGACACTCTCTGGCAAAACTAATATCGAAAAGCAACATATTTAATTATATTCCATCTTTACAACAAATAAGACACATTTGCGTTATACTTAGGGCAATAAATAAAAAATACAGTCATTAGAAGTAGCATATATAGACTGCGTTCCGTTATTCACTGCAAATACTGAAAATTTATAGTTAGCGTTACGTATACTATAGATTTTCAGTACTTGCAGTGAATAACGGAACGCAACCCTAGTATTAAACATACAGTTGTATCTTATCTTTGATTTATATATCATTTTTTTAGTATCGTTCTTTTCTTAACTTTTTTACTCTTCCTTTTCTTCACAAATTTGATCATGTATTAACTGACATAAGAAAACATATATACGTGCGTATTTATTAGTTATATGTTCAATGACTCATAGAACAGTAATTAAAATATAATGAATAACTTAATTAACTGATTCAAAGAAGGCAATAGACGAAAAGATGACCTTTCAAATCAATAATACATAAACAAATATTAATGATGTTTATTTACTATAGATATCTTTATCGATAAATTTTCAAAAAAAAATTCGCAATAGTACGAGTTGATCAATTTTGTGAATCATTGTATCTATTATATATATATGTGTGTATGTGTATGAGTGTGTAGTATAAAGATATAGATATGTTTTGTACAAGATCTTTTGATAGAAAATACTACAAAGCGGTCTGTTCCGTGATCGTAGCGTCGCTCTCACTCTCGGTATTTTGCGCCGACGAACTCAGTTCACAATTATCATTATTCTTCTCGCAAGCCTTCTTCGCCTGTTCTAAAAGATTTTGCGCCATCTGGTTACCCGTCTTCTCCACCATTTGTGAAAAGTAACCATTTGGATTGTCATGTAACAGTTCATATGGACAACCGAATTCCTGTTAAAGTGATAATTCTTATTATCAAATGCTTATTGAGTCTTCTCCCCAAAAAATTATAAAATTTCCAAAATCTTTGTTATTCTTTTGTATACGTAATATTGAATTTTTAGGAAGAAGTATACATTGTTCAATAGAAAATCGATGTCTAACTCTCTAAATACTTTAGAATAAAATTTCTGTCTAAAGAACGAAAATTAAGCTAATATCTTGAATAGCTCAATTTTCAAATTAAGGAATGAAGTTTCAGAATAAATTTCTCTCTAAACATTCTCCAGAATTTGAATTGATTATGCTATTAATCAAAATTATTATGAACAAATGTTTTATATAAACAGTGTTACATAGAAAATTATACTTTTTAATTATATTTCTCAAAGCTAATGTTTTTCTTAACACATTTACGCTTTAATGAAATGGAAAAACATACCACGATGTGACCGTTCTCCATCACGATGATCCGATTGCTATCTATAATTGTATTCAAACGATGTGCTATCGTGATAACAGTGCATTCTTTAAAACTGCTCCTTATTGTATTCTGAATTAAAGCATCCGTGCTAGAAATAGAAATTCAAATTTAGAGATGCAAATTTATAAACATGTTAAGTTTAGAAATCGTATGTTGTACCATCCTATAGATATAAAATATACAGATTTTTGATTAAAATATCTAATTCGATTTAATTTGAAAAGATTTTACTTCTCTTAAATCTTGAATTTATTATAAAATGAATGTTCATTGTAGCCTACTGTAACTTAACGTACCTTTGTAACGTAAAGTACCTACTTTATATCATTCGCAATTATTCATAAAGATAATAACTTAACAATAGAAAGTTTTATTTGTTTACATATGCTAATTTACTCTTAACCCTCACAATAAAAAAATTCATGTCATAATTGACCCCCAATGGTCACATCATAACTTTCCACATTATCACTACTTCGTTGCGTTATTACTGCGACTTCTTTTGCTATGGAGGATTACTTAATTATTAATCATCAATGATTAAGCAATGAAAATTACCCGTCTTCACCAGATGATATGTAAATACAATCCTAAAGAATCATAAATACTCACTGCGAATCAATATTGGCCGTGGCTTCATCGAGAACGAGCAAACGATTGTTTCTCAAGATAGCTCTAGCCAGACATATGAGTTGCCTCTGGCCGACACTGAAGTTATGACCGCCAGAGAAGATATCGTGGTCCAGCGCGACATCATTCAACTCGACTTGCCGCAGCACCTCCCACAGCTTCATGTCGTCGTACTGATTGAACGGATCCAGATTGTAACGTAAACTCTCGGAAAAAAGCACAGGTTCCTGTGGTATAATAGAGATCTTGCAGCGTAGTTCACTCAGGCCCACCGTGCTTGTGTCTCGATCATCGATCTTGATCTCTCCTTCTAAACCTTCATTGATCAAGTGGAAGAGCGCCGAGATTAAAGAAGACTTGCCGGCGCCTGTTCGTCCAACCACCCCAACTTTCCAGCCAGGCTCGATGGATACGTTTAGATTCTGCAAAACGTGATAATAACGTGATAAAACACAAAAGATATTTGCAGAATGAATATCGGTTTTTTTTATATACTTTCAAAACTGGTGGATCGTCCTCATGATATTTCATGTTAACGTTCTTTAAGATTAATTGTCCTTGGGACGGCCATGTAGGTGGCGGTGGATTGTCCGAGGCAATAGATTCCTCCTTAGGAAGATTCGTGTACTGAAGAATCCTTTCCACGGAGGTCATTAGTGACATCGCCTCGCTAAACTGTTTTATGGTATATTGCAGACAACAAATTATGATCAATGACTGCGATATTGCTAGACCTGCTTTGCTGCCGTCTATGCCACCTGAAGAATAATGAAGAAGACTTATAATAGCTTGAAGTTTCAGAAAAAGAATCATACGTAGAAGTAAAGACAATTATACCAAAATTTAAATACTAAAAGCTCATTTGATTCTGCTAATTAATTGTAGCCTTCTGCATCTTTATGAAAATTATAAAATAACATTTAACGTTCAATAACTAAGAATCTCTCTGTTAATTAATTAGACATAATTTACCAGTCTCATTCATTGGTATTAGAGAAAAGCAAACGCAGGCGAGGAATAGGCACATAATTATGTCCGTAAAGATACTAAAGGCCGCCTCGCATGTTAAGAAGAGATACCACGTGCCGCTGTGACGATCTTGCAACATATCGAACTGTTTTCTCATTATCTTCTCGATTTCAGCGCCGCTGCTTCTGATCGTCGGCAAACCATTCAGTGTTGCATTTACGTGCGAGAATATCGGACTTTTCACTGAAAATGCCCAAAAATGCAGATTCAAATACTTCTAGAATTTATTAAATTCCGGGAAATGTACGAACTTACAAATCCAAATTCGATATGGCAAGAATCCAGGAATTTAGATCGCAAGGAATGATGTCTAAATCTCTAATACGCCGCGCTTTTTCTGATGAAAAATTACTTGCCCTAATATACTTACTTATGCCTTCGAGTCGTTTGAGGTTCTGACAAATCTTCGTATAAAATTTTGTAGCAAAGAAAAGCAAGACAACTACCATGGCTATCAAAATCAGCAACCATTGATTAATTATCACCTCTATAATCATTATACCACATACTACGAAATATCCCTGGAATCCATCCAACATCATTCTGGGCAGCCATTCATCTATAATACCTATGTCCTTCGAAAATCTGTTTAAAATTCTCCCTAGAATACAAAAATCGCTGTCTTTCAGTAAAATCTAAGAAAAAAATTAAAGTTTAGAAATTGTAATCTGTGTAAATTCGGTGATTTATATTTCTGATATCACAAATATAAGTTCGCGCGCCCGAAAAAGATTTATGTAATCGTTACGCTTTATTTCTTCATGGATAACCATTACAACTTAATAATATCGCATTCAACAAAAATATGATCGTTTTCTTTATCCAGATTTAACATTTCAAAAAGTCTCAAAAAGATTCTCATAATAATTTTACTAACTTTTCGTATTTTAAATTTATGAAAATTTCTGAAATAAGTATTTCAATTTCTACAGATTTTGTAAATTTTCTTTAGAAATTGTAAAATATGTGAAATCTTAAAAATTCAATTTTAAAATTCACATACGCGGCGTATAAAAAAATTTAGAAAAAGTATAGACTTGCTCAACACTTCTGTAAAGTTTCAATTTATTAAACAATAAAACATCTTTCTTTAAATCTAAAATTATATAGAAATTTTTAAAAATTCTAAAAAATTACCTAAAAAATATTAAGAAAATTTGTCATAAAGAATTCTTCCAAATACCTTTGTAAAACGACGATTATCATTATCTAATGGATCTCGCAATGTTACTTACCGGAAGGATTGCTGTGAAAGAAAGACATGCGCGCCTGCAGCAGTTTGAAGAACATGGTGTTGTGAAGGTTGCTGCTCGAGTTCATGGAAATATTCATATAAAGAAAACTGCGTAACAGTGTAGTAACGATGCAAGCGATGATACAGAATGTGTATACGTATATGGCGTCCACAGTACTGAGCAGACCGTCTGGGTTTAACGTGAAGATTGACCCAAGGAAGCTATTATTGTACATGTTCGCGAATTGTTTGACGTCACTAGTGTTTTCAATACGTCTGACATCCTCCAAGTTAGTCCAGTATGAGAGCCAGATATCATTCCCGCTGGTAGCGACCTGACTGATGATGAAGATTATCAGCAGTACGGATAGCGTAAAATAATTACCGCCGTTATGCAGATACTCTTTGTACACTCTTCCAGCTACTCGACCGTGTGCCGTCATCTCAGTTTCTGAGCTGTTCTCCGCAAGATCCGAATCATCAATGTCCGAGTGCTGTACGATGACAAAATAATAAATCTTGATTGTCTCTCGTAATAGATGTAATCTGATGAAGTTAGTCCAATCAAGATCATTTAAGAACGTTAAAAAAATAATGTTAAGGAAATTAGTCGGTATTTAACTTTTTTTGTATGTTAATTTGAAAACGTCTTTTACTTTCGTTTACTAATAATTAGTAAAGATTAGAAATCTTCAAATGCGCTAAAATATAGATACTTTTTAAAATTATTTTTATTTTTTGCTATTTATTTTTATTAAACAATGATAATGTAAAATATTTTGGTTCTTATGCTTTTTTTTATTAAAAGTAACGAATATGATTATCTTACAATGATGGAACTTGTAGTCGATAATCTTGAGACCCGTCTCGTTACCGTGATCCTCCTGGACGTTTCCGAAGCTCTTTTCATGTCCTCTTCTTTTCTCTGCGCTTGGTTGTTCAAATTGTCCAACATTTCAATGAAATCTTTATTTGATTTTATTAATTCGTTATAATTTCCTTGCATTTTCAAGAAACCCTTAGGAAACAAAACCAGGATATTTAATTTATGTTATATTCAACCTTTATCTTTTAATCACTTATGTATAATTGACATATAAATTAAATATTTAATTTACGAGTATATGTCAATTACACATAATTATTTAAAAGATAAAGATTTTTTGTCATTTTTTATTAAAAGAATCTTATTATTTATGAATAAGCGCAAAAATTTTTGCTTACGGAAATATGGAAAATATGGAAAGCGCATAAAACGTGCTATATAATTAATTCATTAAGATTTGGTTAAATAGGGTGGGAGACAGCTAGGTAGTCGTGAGAAAATCTACATTTTTTTAAAGAATATTTTATACATTTAAATTTGAAATATTCTAAAAATTCTTATTTTATAATTTCCAAAAAAAACTTATGATATCTAAAGAAATTTAAGCTATTTTTCAGAAATCTATATATAAGTATATTTATAATATAAAGTCTTCAATATACACTCAACAGCAAAATTAAAACATCACTTATCCTGCCTCTCAAAAATAAGCACAAAAGAATATAAAACATGATCGTAAAAAAATTTGAAAAAGAATTTGTAAAAAGCATTCTAAAGCTCTACTTTCAAAAATTGTAATTTATATTTCGATTTGATTAATTCTCTACGAAATTATGCTGACACAAATAAAAGTGCATCGAAAAACTTTTACCGACTTTGAGAAGTTCCATAACGTGAATTAAAGATTGCATAAAAATTCGGTTTACAGCATTCGAAAGCGTGAATCTTCTCTTTCTTGTTGAGCTCTGTACGATTTCTTTTCACCAAGCTAATCAACGTTAAAGCAAAAAGGACTACTTTTGCTTCAATGTTGAATAACTTGGTGAAAAAAAATCGTTCAAAGCTCAATAAAAAACAAATTAAAGGCAAAGATTCACGCTTTCGAATGCTGTAAACCGTATTTGTGCACAATTTTTAGTTTGCGTCATGGAAGCGTTTTCAACGCTTTTAAAGAGTGTTACAGTATGTATAAAAAATCAAAAAAATTTATTTTAATGTTATAAATTTGTACAAAAATTTTGAAATATTATAAAGAATACTTTTTTAATTTTTACTCTGTAAAGATAAATAACCAATATCTTCTACGACTCACTCGATCTAGTACGACAATGTGATCCGACCGTTTAAGAAATTGCAATTGATGAGTGACAAGTATCCTCGTCTTGCCATGGAGATACTCGGTAATGCACTTCCCATAGAGATGCCTAGCAACGCGAGTATCCACCGCGCTCAAGGGATCGTCGAGCAAATAGACATCCGCCTGTCTATAAACCGCCCTCGCGAGGTTGATTCGCGCTCTTTGCCCACCGGACAGAGATACGCCTCTATCTCCGACCAATGTCATGTCTCCCTGTGGAAATTGTCGGAAATCCTTCGTCAAGGCGCATACATTTGCTATCTAAAACATTTGCCAATTAATAAAAAAGTAAGAAACATTAGAAAATACTAAAAATTTCGAAATGAGCAAATATTTTTCTTTGATCTAAATGGAATTATATAGATTTTAAAAATTCAGTAAAATATATAATATTTGCTAAAATATGTCTTCTTCTATTCTCAGTTACAATTAAAGAATTCATATTTAATGAGCAATGCTGAAGATAATAAGAACTAAAGGATCTAAGACTCGTTCGAGGACTCGTTATATATAGAAATTATTGGTATGAACATGCAATAGCAGAAATATATAAACATTGTACAGTATTCATAATAACAATTGCTTTGGATCATGAAAATTACCTGCATGTATCTAGCCTTGTTATAGGGCTGACCAAACAGTATGTTGTCCCTCACAGTACCAACAAAAAGCCAGGGTTCCTGACTGGCATAGGAAATACGCAGATTTGGATTGTTCGTGATATATCCAGTGGACAAATTGCTCGAAAAATTATACTTCGAGCCCTGAGTAAGGATTACGGAACCCGTGCCGAGATTCAGCTCCTTTAGCAACAAATGTAACACTGACGATTTGCCGGAGCCTACAGCTCCGACTACAGCACACAATTGACCCGGCTTGATAGTCAAGCTGATGTTGCACAAAGTTGGCGGCAATTGGCCGCTAATCCAATTGGCTGAAACACGCTGAAGCTTCACATATACCGGAAGGTCAGATATTTCTTGAGCCTCGGACAGAACTATACTTCCATTTCTCGAGATGTATCTGTCTATTTGATTCTCTGCATTAGTTACTTCCTTTGGTTTTTGAGATTTACACTGTAGTGTCTTCTCCGAGCATCTCATGTTTACTTCATCCATCAGCAAAAAGTTCTACAAAAATTAGGTAAGCACACTTTAATAAGTATGTAACAATAAAGATATGAGAATGATTGTAAATTTAAGTTTGCCGTGAATTAGAAAATAATATGATAACATGTACCTCCAATCGATTGAAAGACACTATCGATTCACCTAGCATTATTAGCCCCAGAGGAAGGTACAACGCAACGACAAGTTGGAGTATGTTAAAGTATGTTGACAATTCATAGGTCACGTCGACAGTCAAAGTATTCCCCAATAGAACAAATGTTATCAGAGTTAAGTAGACGGTAAATCGTTCAGTGAAAACTATGATGGCCAAATATGCGGCTCGCATTTGTGATGAGTACTTGATTTGCTTGATCTCCAACTTTCTGATTACTGACACAATCTGGCTGAACGGTTTCTCCCAAACGTACATCTTCACCACCTGAATCGAGAGTTATTGTCTCGTAAATTTGTTTCATAAAATTTTTTTATAAAGTTTGATATTTAAACGTTGATATTATATGTTCACTCATCTACTACATCGTTTAAGAGTAAAATTATATATATATATATATATAACTAATTGAACTTCCTGAAAGTACCTGTATCCCAGCTATGAGTTCGCTCATTAACTGCACTCTTCGGTCGGTCAGTGGCGCAATCATAGCTCTGAGCCTGTGATTCAAAAAGCTCAAAGTCCCTTGTCCTGGAAGGACGATAATAAACATTGACCCTATACCAACAAAACTTGAAATACCTATTTTTTGCCACATTATTGTGCCTATGATCGCGGTCTGTGAATAAAAATAAAGCTCGATTAACTTCAACGGATAATTATTTAAGAGCAGCTTCAAAATAAAAGAATAGAAGAGGTTCTACGCTTTTACATTCATGGAGTTGTAAAATACACTGTACACATATAGCTACATAATATGTATAATTAGTATAATAAGTTTTCTATGAACTAGACTACAATTATTAAACATATATAATACTTATTAATAATTTACAAAAGAGGTTGATAAATTTAAGTGCTTTTTTTCATTAAAAAGTACGATCAAGGTGCTGTTTAATTATGTCTGAATATGCATGAATACTTTTATGAGATAAAGAATTACCATAAGAGGCGTGATCCATATATAATTTAGGCACATTGTTAATTGATCGAAGCGAATAACGTCATTGCTGAGAAGATTCATGATCTGTCCGGCACCGGTTTGGTTCATGGATGCTGTGTTCAACCGTAATAGCTACAACAGTATTAGAAATAGTATAAATTGTGTGTAGTATAAATTAAATTATGAAAAGGTTATTTAATTATTAAATTATGAAAATTATAAAAAATGTTTCTATAATATTTGTTACAAGTAAAAATTACAATTTTATTTTGACTGGGTTTTTGTCCATTTACATGTAGTCTCTCGGTAAAAATTATTTTTTTCATATACAATTATATATTACTATATAAAATTATGTCAGAATATATACAATTATACATAATTTATTATATATCATATATGTATACATAGCCTACTATAAAGCTTCGAAATAAGTATTATAATATTTCATAGAATATTTAAATGCTGAACAAAGTTATCGTTCAAGATTTCTGCTCTGTGAAGTGGGCACCCCTAAATGCGAATTTTAATAAAATCATTATTGCATTCGTTTGTCCACTGTTTGTCCACGTTTGTCCACCCATTATTTTCGTTTGTCCACACTATTTTTATTATATTTTTCATAATAATGAAAAATAATCACTTGGGGGTACTACAATTTTTTTTGTGTATAACTTTTTTTTGGAGGGTAGACAAATGAAAATAACGGATGGACAAACGTGGACAAACAGTGGACAAACGAGAGATTCAGGGAGATGCTATTAGCACTATTTGTGTTATTCTATCTTTATCGGCCATTAGACGTAAGACAATGATAGTACTACACAAATAGCACTGCCCGAACGCAGCTCTAACGTTGTTTGTAATTGTAACATTAATTTCAAAAATATGACAAATGAACATATGACCACTTGATATCTTCCACATTATAAGCATGTAAGCTTCAACATCTACCAATGACATGTTTGCGACACAATATTCGGAATGACCTGTCTTTCGAGTGATCTTATCTCTTTTAAAATATAGCAGGCCGATAAAATGTTTTCATACAAAATTATACATAAACGGTTATACATAATTTATAACTGTTATAAATACGTTATCTATGAATAAGTTTTGTATAATTTATGTATGAAAAATTTTTTACCGGGCTACTATTTTAATAAAGATAAAATTATTCGAAAGACATTCCGCGATGAATATTAATAGGAATTCTATGAGAATTCTAGCAAACTATGTGCTAGTGCGTAAACGTATATATAGTATGTGTATGAGGATCAGGATGGGAAAATGCATTACAGACGCTGGGTCCGAGGGAGAAGGAGCGCGTCACCGGGGTCCGTTGTACAAAAGGGTTACAGGGTTTTGTTTCTCTTTTCTCACTCGTTGCGTCCTACAATGGGTGGGAGAGAGAAAACAACGGATTGAAGAAAAAGAATGCAATGAGTAAAAGAAGAGGACCTAAAACTTCCCTTCCCCTTCTCTCCAACGGATCCCAGCGATGCGAAAAAGTAATGATTCGTTATTTTTTCAAGTAACGGTAATGGTAAAGAGTTATTTTTTTATGGTAACGTTCCCAACTTTGCTCACAAGTTAATTCGCATTATTACCTTCCGATAGAGAAGAGAACTGCAGGAGATGCGTATCTTCATGCCAATATGCACCGATTGCATAAAAGTGTGATGTAATAACATAGTAGAGATGACATTGACAATGACCAGAAGGCTGATGTAGATCATCACCTCGTTCGTCTCGATCTTATTCTTCGTGTTTGGATCAATAACGAAATATTTGATGATCCAACTTTGCAAGATCGGTATCATTACGCGCACTACGCTGCACTAAAAGAAAAAATTTGAAATTTAACTCTCTTCTTTGTAGCACTAAATATACGTAAACTTATAAATCTCTATAATAAATTTAAAAAGAGCGAGCGAGCGAGAGAGAGAAAGAGAGAGCGATCTCAGATTAATTCGGATCAATTCTTTTTTTCTTCATTAAGTATTAGCTAAATATAATTAGAAATGCACCGGACATTTGGAACGGATTACTGAATATCTGATTTCAGGCAATCCTTCCCGAATATCTGATGCATTCCCAACGAAGAATATAACGAAGAATTGATGTCTGACAATTTTTCTATTATTGTTTCTTTCTTTTAGTATAAATATTGTAAATATTAATATCACATGGTGTCATATCAAAGATATCAAAATACTTGGATAAATGAGCAGATTCCGATTATGAAATATGGCAACCAAAAGGTTTTGTAGATCGCCTTGTACAATTTCGGACGAAATTCCTTTTTCAATGGCACTTTCTGCCCATCTTTGCTCACGATATATTCCAGATTTTTTAGTTTATCTAGCTCGTGATTCCAGTTCCTAAATTGAAAAAATTGCTATAGGAGAGAGAGAGAGAGAGAGAGAGAGAGAGAGAGAGAGAGAGA